TAATAATAACAGCAAAGTTTAAAAAAAATATGTCAATTTTTTTCGTTACACATTTTTGATAAACAACGTCACTTTTAAATGTATTTTGTGCAAAGTTTAAAATGGAGATTCTTGGAATCCCTCGAGAGTAACAAATTTGAAAAGTACCCTCGCAATAACATAAGTTTCTGTGCATTACTACAAGCAAGTAATGTATCACTCGGTAAATAATGTAAAAATATTTGCTTGAAAATTCTTGCATTCAAGTATGTTTATTAAGCTCTATGGTTTGCCAGAGTGGCTTCTCAAGCTTAACTTACAATATTTGTATTTATTTTATTTATATTTTTATTTCTAATAATTTCATGTTATGAAATTCAGTTCTTAACGTTAAAAAAAAATATACTTTGATCAGTGATTGATTGTTGAAATTGTTGTTAAAACATAAATGCATTTTAATTGAAAATATAGTATTTTAATAAAAATCTATAAAATTGTTTTGTGTAAGTATTTTATTTTAACCATTTTTATATGAATTATTACAAATATAGTTGTTTTCTTATTTTCTATCAAAGTATTTGAGAGATTTCTAGAGCAAATACTAAACAAGTAAACAAAAAACGAGAAATAGTCATGAAAAAATACTATTGTCGATAACATTAAAGTTCAAAACTGGATGAGAAGCAAAGTCGAGTGAATTGCCTCGGCTAAAAATAATATTTCAGTACACTAGTCCATTTTTAATTATGTAAATAACTCAAAGGATAATAATAATTATGAAAACAATTTGTTGTTAACCAGTCGTTTTTTTTTTGCAAGTAATTTAGTTTGAAATTCGTTTGAACTTCAAAGGATATTTCTAAAAAATTCAGTTGCTTGAATTAAAAACAGAAGCAAGAAATTGAATGAATAATTACTGTGAAATATGAAAAAATTAATTGTTTTTTAATTTTGACAAACAACCTTTAGAGAAACCACTCCAACGTGACTATTTAATGTATGTTTATTATTAGTTATACTTGTTAGTTGTCGTTTGTGTTATTATAGCTTGGCCTAGTGAACATTGCAAATCTCCTTCTTGGCTTATATAGCTGTATAGCTAACTCCCAGTGTACTAAGATCAAGACGTATACTTTCTTGTCATATCTTTTCTTTGTCACTTGTATCCGATCTATAGTTGATTTTCCTGCCATGAAGTCAGTTTGATATTTCTTCACTATTTGCTAATTTCTTTGTAGTTCTTACACTGCATGATATATCTCATCTTATACATAAGACATAGGAAAGACTCGGCCCATTATTAAAGTATCTCTTATTATTCACAGATAAAATTCACGAGTTGGTTTAGAAAACGTAAATGTCGTCCTCAAGAACTTTGTAATTTTTAAGCAATTGTGATTATTATGTATGCATATCTTAATATAGTTCCAAAAACCATGCACACGGCTGTTTATTTTAAGGTAATATAATAATATTTATTTACCTGCATAAAAGTGGCCACGACCGGAATAGTTAATATAATTATCGAGGAACGTCATTTAATTAAATGCGGGTAGGTAGTAATTATGCACATTTAAGCGGCAAAAGCCTCTTGGCGTTTTCTTTTGTTACGGTACCTATTATAAATAATTTGTTTATTTAAAAGATTTTAGACCCTACAGAGAGAATCAAGTATATTCTAATCTAGTTTGTGGTTGACGAGCACAAGTGGCTTTCTCAAGTTTTTCATCCGAAATTAACTTTGTTTTCGTGCGGTAATTGTTTGGAAACCATAATTATTATCGCGGTGGAAAATGTAATAATAAAAACATGTTTTTTCCGTCTATTTCACCGACAAAAAGGTCTTTAACTCTACCAATTAAAATTTGGGAAATTAAAAACCAATTACCACTGCAGTACCTACATTATGCGCTTGTTCCCCGGGGGGCTGGAACTGTTGTTGTTGTTTTTTTCTTCAAAACGGGAAACATTAATAGCGCTTTGGTGCTCTAAATATTAAACGCCTAAAAATGAATCGTAAATCTTCAAACGCAGAATTTCCCAATTACACCTCGACCGTTGGTGTGTAGCGCTACAAATGAGACTGCTGGAAAAGCTCCGGCAATAGGTAGGGTAGAGCCGAGTAAGAAAGTTTTCTACTCCCATAAGCACACAGATTACCCGAACGCTTTTCCACTCTTTATCTGCACAACAGTCCCTCGGCCGTTTCCTATATAATTTATCGCATTCAAACGGTCCGTGTTACACTGCAAAAGTCACGAAAACCAGACGAACCCTCGACACTATAATATTGTTCGCCGATGCCTCGGATGGATGGGAACGCAACCGTTCAACAAGTTTGTTTCGAACTCTTAGTAATTGAAAATTAAAGAAAAGTTATACAACACGTGGTGGTAGAACTAAACATATAAGACGTCCGCACAAATTACATTCCAAATTTGGACATTGAATTGGCTCTGAAAGCCAAGTTAATATTACCACGGGGTTTTGTGTAGGCAATTTCAACATTGAGCAAATGGTAAATTTGTTGCCAACAATGGCATTGTTGAACCCATTGTACAGAAAACAAATCGTCAACGACACCCCCATTGTAGAAAATGTGAAGGTGAATGAAAAGACATTTATTGGATTTCCAATAGTATATTATAATTAGTAAATAATAATAATCGAGCATAACTTAATCAACTGCTTAAAATAAAAGTGATTCAATACTACTTGGTATGGCAAAAACTTGAAAGTTAAAATTAAAGACTAATAGTTCTAAAAACTATATCAGGATAAAGCTTTTGTTTTCTGTGTTAGGAGACATTGCCAAAACGAGTAATATAAAAGAAGTAAGAACACATATTTTTGTTGTGTATTAGGTTGATAATTAGTTAAAGTTAAGTTTTAATAATTGGAAATAGTTTTTTGATTCAGTTTTTAACTACAGTCAACCCAATAATAATAATAATAATAATAAATTGGTTTATTTTATAGTAGACGCCTTAATTAAGTAATATATAGTTTATTTTTTTACAATAACGTTTCTGAAAAAATTATTTTAGTTAGGTTTTTTTTAAATGTTTACTAATTAACTTATGTTAGTTTATCAATAAAATATTCTAGTTTCTTTTTTTAGCTAACAATCAACATTCTTTAGGGTTATTACTTATCCAAAAAGATAGAGACATCGGAAACAGCTTACTAAACGTACAATTTATCTCTGAATACAAATTTGTTTGCATAAAACGTTGTTGTCGTTTTCTTCCATGTTTTCGGTGAAAGTTAAGATTTTCAATGTCACCGATAAATGTTAAAAAAAAATTACACTAACTGCCAACAACACATACAATACATACGATATTCTTAAGCGGCGGCATTCGGTGAAGTTTTGGAAAAAGTGTTATTGCCATCGTTTGACATACAAAAAAAAATCTTACACCGTTATAATATAAAATGGCTCATCGTTCACATGAGAAATGTAGGAGACCGGCGCTGATTTGTACAAAGTTTTGGCATATAAGCTACCAAGTTTTTTTTTTAGATGTTTTTTCCACTGCGACATTTTATTGCGTTGTCAAAACATTGTTGCGTATGACAAAATTATATTTTCTATTTTACGGTAAAATGTAAAAAAAATAGTAATTGCAATTAAAAAAAGTAATATTTGTAATTTTTTGAGTAAGTTTTTTTTAACAACTATTTTTATTGCTTTTTTATATTGTACTTCCTTCACTTATATTAAACGCCATCGACCGTGTAAATTAAAAACAGTATCCATTTTACTCGCACAAATCGCTAATGGACGGATATTAATTATCAAGTGCATCCGTCTCCGTTGAAATACAATAGATTTTCCTCGACAGATCAGAATTAATCGTAAGCTTGTCGCTTAAACTACATACAAAAGCCCATATACTATACAGGCGCGTGTACCGTCTTTGGTAATTTATTATTCGCCAAAAACTCATCAAGCGAGTATGAACTGTGCGCAACTAAACGTGGCAAAATTAGGAAAAGTTAATCGCGTTTCGGCTTTCCGTAGGAAACGTTCGTTTAATTATTTATATCTTAGCTGTCGTTGTATTTCGTTGTCCTTGTCCGAGCAAAAAAAAATTGTTATTTTTTTTTTTAATTTGTTTACCAATGCAGTACGTTCGTTCTGGGTCAAATATTTTTGTTTACTTACTCAAAACTAATCGATATCGCGACGAAATGAAAAGAGAAATAAATAGTATACAAACCCCTTTTTTGTAAGTTTTTATGATCACGGTAAATGGGTCGAGTGCTTAACAGCCTGAAAAGTATTTTAACTGTTCACGTGAATGGGTTGATTATGCCTTTAAATATTACATTTAAAGCAACCAAAGACTTTTGATTTTAATCATAACGCAATTTTTTGGACAAAAACTAATATACAAAAAAATAATATACTTTAAGTTTCAAGTTATTTTAAGTTGACTGTTAAGAAATATATTATTATAATTATGTATGGAATATTCGCGTTCAAACATTACATTGTTTAAGTACCATATTACCGTTTGATTTTATTGTGTTATTACTGAATTTAGTCAATGGAAATTATTTGATAGATTTCTATATTTATTTTAGAACGATTGCTGTATGTCGTTGATAATTTTATGTTGCACGAGTAAAAATGTTTCCAAATCAATAACCTGCATACTTGATATTATTTTTAATACTTATAATTGATTTTATTGCAAAATAATACTTCATTATTTCTCAGACCTAACATTTCCTGTTCTCTTTAGATTTTAAAATCAATTTCAAATTAGGTTGCATATCGATTTTCAGAGGTATAGAAAAATGTCGGTTACACTATTGGTTAGTGTCAAATTTGCCATCTCCATAATAATCCTATTGAATGTGGTTTTGGTGTTGTAACTTGTTACATTTCTCATGCTATAGTTGCGCGTTACTGAATTAATCAACGATCCTTTTCGATATCTCAACTAGCAATTTAAAAGTTTTTAATGCACAAAAATACTTACTAATCTTCGTGTTATTGTCCTGTTTAGAAACTAAGTCGAGATCCAGCAATTCGATGTTGATGTCGGGTGAACTTCAATCATAACTGCGGCATCCGAGTGCAATCAAGTAAATATGTCATGCACGATGGACGAACAGAGCCAGAAGACGTCGCCTCGGGGACAGTCGTGCCGGGGAAAACCCCAAACCTTGTCAGTGGTTTCAGTCCTGTATGTCATGATTTGCGTCAGAACCACATACACCTTGCCGTTAGCCAGTTATAGTATTGGTGGCAACATGAGCTTGTTGTCAATGCAGCGTCTCAAGTCGTTCGTGGATGACACTTGCTCGCTGGACCCGCACTGCCAGTGGACTTGGGTCCCTCAAGAAAACGGATTAAGAAACGTGACAACGGACGAGGCATTAGCAATGGTACCGGAGAACTATATGTACGCACCCGGAAATGACTCCGATGTCGGCCAAAGAGGTAAGGACACCATATTAGTATTAGGTATTTGTTCAATTAGCAAGGGATTCATCATTCTAGTTTATTAGCTCATAAAAGTATAGAAAATGTTGCATATTGAGCTAATCAATATAGTACAGGAGTTACATTATTGTAAGTGTTCCTTTTCTACGTAACGTTAGAAGCTTGTATACAAAAAATACAATAACAATACTTACCGACTATTTGTGTAATTAGAATTTCAATTTGCAGACCGCCCAGAAGGGTATCTAAGATGCGACAGAACCAAAATAAAAATACTCTTGATCGCAAACAATAACAGTAACATTTTGTAGTTTTTATTAACTAAGTTTTTTTTTTTAACGATCCGCATCTCTTTCAACCTCATTGTTAACGCCATTGAGTTTTGTTGTCCATTGTACTAGAGTTTGTTCACTAATCAGATTACCATATTCATTCAAGAATGTCCGTTCATAATAGTAAACAAACGGTTTTATCCCGAGGCCTTTGACCGAGTTGCACACACGGCGGTTGGCTTTTCGCCATGGACCTAAAAAAAAAAACCAAACATACATGAAAACTTTTTTGCTAAAAAAGTTTCGAAATTTCGTATTTAATTTTATTTTGGCTCAGACCTTTATGAGATGTATCTGCACTACCGAAAAGAGTCGTTATAGTGTTACACGTCATTATCGTTATTGTTTTCGTTTCGGGTCTTTCCTGTGTGTGTGTTTATGCTGTACTTGTAAGTACAAAAACGTTGCGAGACCCCCGCCGCCTTCGCAGCAATTAACTCTTTTTCGCTAGTTCCCTTATAGTGTTCCACACAAAGACACAAAGCTCGGCAACAATCAGACAGAGGTTTTGGTGTATCTACAGCCGAGTAAACGCGTCCACCTTTGTGCTAATTATTTTTGTGTTCGTTCAAAAAGCCATGTCAGACAGAACACGGTCTAGTTTAGACAGTTTGGGCCTTCGAGTGCCCTAATTGTATTTGTTCGCCTTTTACGTCAGCGTTCCGTTTACGGTCTTATTTCACCTCTCCTGGACTTAAGCAACTGTTTGTAGTGTTAATGCATACATAATATTATGATATCGGTGTCCGGGCGGGAATAATATTATACAATATATGTACACCGGGTCCAGCCCGGACCACCGGAAATCAGCGTTTTAATTTAATTATTACCTAATTGCCTACTCTTGCTCGTTTGACCTGTCAAAGTACCTTACTCTATGTCTCCATGTATTCCATCCTATCCGTCACCATTTCTTCATCTACTCCACACTCGAACAGAGCCAATAAGTCGGTTTGTCACTGGCCCATTAATGAACCTGTCGCACTAGAAATAACCGAACGGCGGTTTTACATTGTGTTATGAATGTTTGTAAAATATTAGTTTTATAGTATAATAATTGTTATGTTATTGTATTTTTAATATTGTGTAGTGTACGATTGCCTTGCTGGTATGGCGATTGAATCAAGAATATATTTTTTTTATGATAGACTTAAGCGGTTAACAAATATTATAAAGAAATACAATACTGAAGTCAAAGTGTACATTGTCTTTTATACGAGACGGTTAACACCCTAGATTAGCGTCAATCAGCCGACTGTTGAACAAAAGTTTTTATTCTTTGAAACCTCTGTACATAATATAAATATATATATTTATCTTGCAGAAAATTATAAAATGCAACCGTATTTTATACAGTTATCGTTCCAGACTTTCGTGTTAACAATCACCACCCTAACTAATTTAACAACTTTCCTAATTAAAGTTATAATGTTTTTTAAGGTGTTACTTTTAACGAATTTGTTATTACATTGTTTTTGTTCGCTGTTACATTGATTTTTTCTGTGTCGGCGGTAATTATATTAAATATGCAACTGACGGGGTTTTATTCTTTTCGCTGTTAGCCCATTTAAATTGTAAATTATTATTATCATAGAAAGGTTGCGACATTCTGGTCAGTAAACTGTTTTATTAGTTGAGGAGGTTTTGAAAGGGAGTTGCGATAAAGACGACTTAGCAGCATTAAACAATACAGCACTTGGTTGACTAAATGTTTGTGAACTCAATTTAATCAATTACGAAAAAATGTATTAGAACGTCGAGATGTGTTAAGTGCGTTCTCAAAAGAAAATACCTGTTATAATAATATATGCTTCTGGCTTAATGTTTGAGCTTTGTTCCTGTTATATTACATAAAATTAAGACATTGGCATACAATGTCGAATGACAATTACAAATTGGAAATTTTTAATGAATGTGACTATTTTCATCCAATCGCCCGGAAATCTTCTTCTTTTCTATTAATACTTAATTTTTTTTCTATGAAACGTTCAAAGTATTTTTAAATGCTTCTACACGTCTAGTTGTAAAGTTTAATCGAAAATAAGAAGAAGGGAGGATAATAATAATTATACAGGGTTTTACTTTTGTCAAAACTGCAAACGTTGCGGTTCTTGTTGTTATAGATTTCATAGCCGCCAAGAGTAAAAGGGTAATTTGTTAGTCATGCAAATAGAAAGGCCCAGCCAATCGTGTTTCTGCTGTCTGCAGGAATAGCTTAGTAATTATTCAAGTATAAACGGAACACACCGGAGGGGTGGGTAAAGGATTGTAATGATAAGGCTCTTAACAAAACAGACCTGGCCGGGTCGTTCTCGTGTATAATCACGGATGAACGACCGTTTAAGGTAAATGAAAAACATATATTATATAATAATATCCAACATCTCTTCGGACCGGCTTGTTATATTCGGCCAGACCAAGCGTTTATTCTATGCAATTATTACCACTTGCCATAATCGCCTCACTCCTTTTTTTTACCTAGCCACAATCGACCGCTAACGAGTACTTGTAACTTTGTTTCGGTGTTAATGGTGAACGTATAATACTGTTTCGGCAAACACGGATAGGTCTGATGGGGGTTTACAAGTGAATTTCAAGTAAACCGAACTTTCTTACAGGCCAATTATTAGTTCGAACGATACGGGTTGGCGCGAATTGTCTCGTCCTTTGACAACTCAATAATATGATCTAATATACAACATGTTATGGTACATCCATCATATACCGTCCATTAAAGATCAAAGGACAATCGACACGGGTAATGTGATTGTATCTAATGGCTTATACGAGCATGGAATGGAATCTTTTGAGGTGTTTTCGACCAGTAGAAATTATTAACGTTGCATCGACTATACAGTATATCTTCTTTTTCTGATTAATAATGTATTATTAGAATCATAGTTTCCAGCTGAGAAAAAGATAGGTTCCCGTCACTATGGCAATCTATATTAAACGCACGTCTTCGAACGAAATTATAGGACAGGTCACAATTATTATTAACAGTCGAGAATTACTCAAAGGCAAACCGCTTTTGCTAACATCACAAGTTATTTGCTACCCCCTTGTACATTTGAATTATGGTTGAAACTTTTGGAAACTCGAGACAAAATCCAACTTCTAGATACATACCACAAATTGCTGTAACAATGTGGTAGTCGGTACTTACCAATAATAATGGACGTAAGATACCGTAGCTCGCAGAGGCCATGGAAACCACATGAGTTACAAGGAACAAGTTATAATATGATGTAAATAATTAAGTAATTATGTGTATATTATAAAATATGTAATTTTATTTATAATTTTATTATCTGTAATGTTAATAAAAAAACACATTATAATAGCAAAATTAAAACTTTATTTTAGCTTCGGTGCGGAGCTGAGAAGGTATTGTTTTTACAATGATGTGTTTTTATTTTTTATTTTTGTGTCTGGACCCATGATATCTTGTAAACCGCTGAACCGATTTCTTCGTTTAGCAACTCTAAAACACCCAAAAAATGTACAAATTTTTCAACTTAAAATTACGATGCTCTATAACTTTTTTAAAAGTAGTCAAAAATGTTCCAAATGTATATGAATTGTTTTTCAAACATAGTACTATCGGTAAACATTAACAAACCAAAAAAATATCATAAACCCCTAGAAGGGATAGAATTTTTTTCTTTATTTCACTTTTTTAAGTAAAGTTTCAGAGATTTAAATCTGAAAATTAGACCGAAGGTAGATCTAAAATGTAACCTAACCCAACTTACTATAGAGGTGTTACCAATGGGTAGCTTCCTTTTCAAGATATACATGCCCTGTTATAATTTAGATAAAAAAAATCTTATTGTACATACATATTTGTATAGATTGTTTTTGTAAAATAAATAAATAAATTTAAAAAAAAGATCTAAAATGGATCTATAACATATACGATTATCTCAAAAATCTGTAGTCAAATTTTTTTTTTATTAAGAAAAAACACCAAAAATAGGGTAAATTTTAACTTTGGCCGTAGTCAGTTTCTAGGTTGCTATGTGCAAATGAATCAATCATCAGTCAACAGGTAATGAAAATGTTTTTATTATATTGTTAATTACGATATATGGGTGACTATGACAGTACGTTTTTATAGACAGATGATCAACCCTTATCGTATCCACCCTGCACAAGAATAAATATTACATTTTAAGTACATTATTGCTGGTCCCACGATCTCTTCTAAACCGCTATGATTGGTGTGAACATACTATCCACAGATTCGCATCGAAGCGTTTATTTTTTTAGTTTTTTTTTTAACAGAAGAAAATGCATTTTTAAAAAAAAAAATGTTGACCAATAGCACACATAACACAAGTCACAACCAATCACAGCACAGATAAATCCTGTATATCTTTAGAGACGTTGCGTCAAAGCCGAGAGACAAAATACTTCTCTTACACTAATAATTAAAGGAATATAAACAAATAGGAAATTATTAAGACATAACTCCTGAATACATCTTGGTAGATAATATAAAATGTGTATTTTAACTTATTGGGCATTGAATTTTTATCGAGCTTAATATTTATAAACGTAAGTACAATTTATACGAAAAAACAAAAAAATAGGATATCTAATAAGTAGAGCTGAGACCTCGAATCGAATTTTTATATTATTCGAATTATTCGCATAATCGAA